GTTTTTTCAGGGCCTCTGCGATAATATGAAAAGAAATAAAAAGGCTCCGGAAGGGGAGGGTAAGCACGTGGTGGTACCGAGAGGGCGAAGGAACGCTACCAGCACGCTGCCTTCGCCGCTCCCCAGCTAATCACACGCCAGCTGACTGCTTACTGCTCATAAAAAAAACCACTCCCGTGGATAAAAATTGCAATGAAATTTCAATGTGCAATAACGAGCCAAATTTCATAAGCAGAACGTCGGTTGAGAAGATATGCATCTGGAGTATTTCATCGTCGATACAATGGGAAATCCCCATGCACTTTCAGTGTCCCGTAAACTTTTGAATTATTTTGGTGGGTAGCGCTTTTACCAATGTTTAATTTTATAGGCAGATCAAGAAAAGTGCTTTCCATGCATGACTCCAGGACAGAGTCTTCGGTGATCTCGATGTACACCGGATCAACTCCATAATCCGAGCTTCCCGAAACATATTGTGCCAGAATAAACGACTGCTGCAGCAGGGGAAAATTTTGAACACCCTCTGAGGAACCAACGATTTCATCCAAGTGGTGGGAGAAGTGGGCGAAATTACAGAAAACGAGAAAGAACGGCAGATGACGTCGAAAACTTTCTTCACAGTTGAGAGGACGGAGGGAAAGGCCAGCCGGCAGTGAGGAGTACCTCGCCATCAGGCAGCCTATGGCCCTCGCTGTCACACTGTCAGTATCTCGCGCTACGGTGAACCTCTGCGCGAATCTGTGGAGATGGTGGCGTAAGCCACCAGAACAATGCAAGAGCAAAGCCAGCACAGAGCTTACTTGTACATTTGAAGCAAGAAATATGGATGTATTTCTCGCCCTCCGCTTTCAGGATCTCTCCAACGCATTTCTTCTTACACACATAGCACTTCTTGCCTGCAAAAGCAGTAGCATCAGCAATCATTGGTTTATTTTCAAATTACCCAATCAGTTTTCACAGTAAAATCAAAAGCTCTTTTGAACGAATCCTTGCAGAACGCGGAAAGCACGAACCGCCAGAGCAAGAGAAGCAGACGACAGCCCATCCAAGCGACGGCTCTTACGACACAATTCACTCACTCATCAACGATGCGCTCAAAA